TCTTAGTTTCACAAACAGGTTTGTATGAGTTCATTACCTACTTTTTATTATTAGAAGAATCAAAGTGTGAAACTACTTTAACATCACAGTCTTTTGTGCTATAGAACTTGTGTTCACGTCTTATGGATGCTATTAGTTTAAGATAAAAATGTTCAAATGAAAGTGTGAGGAATATCTTATTTATTAATGATGGTTGAGGACATATCAGAATATTATTTGAAGTTGATTACTTTGATAATGCTGATTATGATGACGAAAACAAATGTAGTAAGTGACTATGGAGCTGACAACATTGACGTTCTAATAATGAATCCAAAGAAGATAAAGTAGAAACGATACTGAAAATACATGATCGAAATGTTTAATGTGATAAAAAATGATTGAGTCTACACTTGATCTATCTGTTTGTTATAAGCAGTCAAGATAACAATGATTAGGTTGGGTGAACTGTTGATAATATTTATAATAAATATAGCGCTGATGTTGCTAAAAAACAAATTACAGGAGTTAATTATTACAAAATATTCAAAGCCATTTACTTTAGGGGATATATATTGCAGAACACACATAACTGATTTGGGAGATTTATCATGCAGTATAGATTTAACTTGCACTAGTTACAAATCTTATTTAGGGGATTTGACATACAGTAGTGACATATATATAACTAAAATTTCTGATTCACAGTACAAAATTTTAAGAACTATACAGATCGGACTAAACGGATTAATTTGCTGTCTTTAGAGATCTGATTTATGGGACTAGAGTTGTAGTTATTATAGATCGAATTTAGGGGAATTGATTTGGAGTACTTACAGACCTAAATTACAGCATTTAACTTGCAGTACATAAAGATGTGATCCAGGGGATTTAACTTGCAGTTCCTGAAGATTTAACTTACTTAGAAAGATTATTGTATCCTTTACATTAGTCGATAACACTTAGCATGTGTAGAAAACTTACTTGATAAATTAAAAATGTAGTAGCTGGTTTATATTGATTTCATTCGGTTCAGTGTAGATAATAGTAATATTAAAATAAATGTATGAAAGTTACTAAATCGGGACGTTTCGAAAATAGGTAGTAAAACATGAATGGTGATCTATGTCACTATGGTGACAACATGAAGAATGATATGTCTCATATCAAAGAAGAGTACGAGGGGGGAGGGAGGAGGAAGGTGTTCTTATTCCATTAGCTCAATATAAATAGCGTAGCCAATGTATCGGGAAAACAGTTATTATGGGCATTGTCTTACAAGTTTTTAAATTTGAGGAATACTTTTTCATATAAAGACGATCCATCATGTGTATGTATGTATGCATGTATGTATGTGTGTGTTAGCATTCAACGCCCAGAATTGGTTGGCTGGATTACCGAAATCATTTGTATGGTAACTGGAAACTGTTCGGGGGTGCATATGGACTATTTTGTTTTGAGAATTTCTACCTGAAAGGAGTAGGGGGATAAAAATCATCCTCAAATAGGTTACATTTCCACTTTTGTATATACTTCTGGCTTAGAATTTAAAGATACAAATACTTAATCAGTTAAATGTGTGGATTATTACCTTCCATAAGGCAGGGTATGTAATTAGCATCTAATGAGGTCCTCAGGGATTTAATAACAAAAGAAAGAAGAACGTGGGATATTACCTATAATTGTCCTTTATAGAATTTTTGTATCTTCAGGTAGTTTAAGTAAAATTATGAACTACAAACAATTCTTAAATAAAGCTGAGAAAAGTTTTGACATGGAAGTTTTACAAACAATAAGATTCCTTTCTTATGAAATAAAATAATTATAAAATCTCGATATATATATATATATATAAGTACATTTACAGAAGGAACCAAGTATTAATACCACAATTTCAGTCAAAACAGATTTAAACAGAGAACATAATATTCGAATACTTAATGTTTTTAACATCTTTACCAGAGTTTTATTTGAAAACGCAAAGAACAGGATTCAGATATTGTAAGCAGAAAGAATATGTTTCAACAGGAACACAGGAGAAAACGAATACTTTAAAAATCGGCAAGACGTTGATTAAAGGCTTTCTTACTCTTTTCGCTGAATTCGTGATGAGTTAAGCCATCAGAAAATCATTTGCCAAAACCAGGTAACTTGTTGTATACTCCTTTTATAACAACCTGCTGTTTTTGTATAAATCAATTAGAGCTCGAGCGGAAACTTTCTCTGTTCAAAGCTTTAAAGAGGGGCCTGAGCAAAAATATCCATTATAAGTGACTTTTCTTTTACCAATGCGTCAACGATTTCTTTATATATGTGTAGCCTTATAGTGGTCTTTAGAATTACAACCTTACAATAAAATTGTTACCTGTTTATCTGAACATCGTCTTTTAAATAACTTTTGTCATTAGTTTGTATAAGGTCTTCATTAAAATAACATTTGAATGATGAAGTCGTTTTTTAAGGATTTGTTGTGATTTTATTATAAGTATATTATTTGTGTTTATTATTCATGATGATTAAATAAGTAAGCCTAAGTATTTTTAAACGCTTTCAAAAATTAACTAAATACATAATAACAATTTTAATATTAGTTACTAAACCTGGAACAATGTCAAAATGAATTTTAGAATAATTATTAGTTTAACAAGGTTTAAATCATTTAGTACGAAATTAAAAATGTTCACCAATGACTATTTTAAATTCAGCAAAACCATTGTCACGAGAAAATCTGTTTTTTAGTCATATTATGAAGATAATGGGCAAAATGAAAAAAGGAAACAATAGAATCTACAACAAAAAATAAAATAATTTAATGGTTCTTAGATCAAAAAATAACTCTGTGAAATGTAAATTAAAAAAAGAACACTATATTGTAATAACATTTTCCGCCTCATTATTGTGGGATTAGATTGTAATATGTACTTACAATCTAAAACATTTGACGTGCAAATATAATCTTAATAAAACAATCTCCCTAATCCTGAGTGTGTTGTAATTGCAGTATTTTTAATCACAGCGTATAAAAAACAATCCAAAAGCCAAAACAATATAAGCTTTCCAGATCTTATGAAAGGCTGAATATCGTTCTTATTGAGTATGTTCATAAATTATTAGAAAATATAAGGCATTAACTCAAAGAAATAACAGTATTATCTGCCAAGAGGTAGTAAGCGGTTAATAGCAAATCTGTTGTGTTTTATTAAAAAAGAAGTGTATGTATGCATAAACTGTTTAGCCATAAATTTAGGTTTTACTTCAAAAACAAGAGAATGCAGGACGCAGATCACTATTAATTAAATATATCATTATCAACTAGCCAAAATAACAGTAACTGTTATACCAAAATGCCACACCGCATATCTTACTATATCTACACAAAACTGAAAATCTGTGATATCCAAGCAATTCACGCTCTAATATAACAATGTGATATCCAAGCAATTCACGCTCTAATATAACAATGTGATATCCAAGCAATTCACGCTCTAATATAACAATGTGATATCCAAGCAATTCACGCTCTAATATAACAATGTGATATCCAAGCAATTCACGCTCTAATATAACAATGTGATATCCAAGCAATTCACGCTCTAATATAACAATGTGATATCCGAGCAATTCAAGCTATAATATAACAAATGGAACAGGTATTCTATCATTGTTAAACACAAATAATGTGTTAACATGTCACAGCTTATAGAAAGTATTTGAACTTTAACAATTCTGCATGCTATTTCACAATGATTAAGAGCAATATTTCGAATATTATCGAGGCAAAGTTACTATGTAGAAACATCTATTACAATATCATAAACTTTATAATGTCTATTGTTTAACAGCACCCTTTTCTTATTAGTTAGACCATAACATATAATACGACATCAAAATATTATGTTTATTGACAAAATACAAAGAAAAGGACAATTTCTATAGTAAATGGTGTTGTTCAGTTTCTTTCGAACGGAAATACATACTAGATCGGGAATCTTATTTTGTTTTATTAAATTAAAGCGTAAACCGTTTATATAGATACAGCTTCTTGTATAAACTAAACTATAAGTCTAATTCTCAGATCACGTCTCTCGCTAAATGTATGAAAACTCAGAAAAGTTAGCATTTCGGCTACTGTATTTCAATTAGTTAATATAAGACGGACTTCGTTTCAACAGAAAGAGATGAACAACACACAGAAATATAAGTGACTTGTTATGGTTAACGGATCTGAAAGAACAGTAACTAGAAAAGTATTGTACATAGGTGACCACGTTCAAATACAAAATAACTGTACGAATTTAGTACTAAACTAAACGACGCATGAAGATGTCAGCCAGTACGTATTGGCTATTGCATTAATTAGTAGACAGTGATCTATATGCACATCAGAACATCCCAGGTCATAAATCTATTAATATATATACTGGCTTATAAGTTTACATCAAAACATCCCACGTCATAAATCTACTAACATATACTGGCTTAAAAGTTTACATCAAAACATTCCAGTTCATAAGTCTATTAATATATACTGGCTTAAAAATCTACATCCATCAATATTTTGGTAAATAAATACCAATCCTTGCGTTTATTAAGGCAAATCAAGCCATATTGCCATCTTGCAGACTGAGCTATACGTTAGTAAATAAACACCGACAATTGCGCTTATTAATGTAAACCAAGCCATATAACCACCTCACAGACTGGCCTACACATTCATCAGTAAATAAATACCAATCCTTGCGTTTATTAATCCTTCTGTGGAGGCAAAGTCGCAAGTTAGTCAATAAAAGATTATACTTACCAGACATATAATGATAGGATCGCATGTCCATCAGTTTATCACACTCATACGTTCATTAGTACATTGCATCAATGTAAACATACTGATCTCCTAGGTAAATCAACACATACTGACTTATGTAAGAGAAATCGAATATCCTCTAAACCAGTTCCTAAATCATAATGTTAAACATCTTATAGATTTAATTTATGTCTTTTTATGACAACTAATCCACTTAAAAAGAACATCTTAGTGTCAACATATTAGTAATAAAAGGATTTACAACGTTAGGTTCAGTTATTGGATTACGCTAAAGATTACTTTTCATATGCTTTTTGTAATTCAATACAGGCAGTAGCATATTCGACTTAATAAATGATGCTCATAATTTTTTTCAACATCGTACAGTTTAATTTGTATCTTCGTCAACATTGGATCTGTAATCTTTCTTGTGTTTGGTAGTTAATTTTCTTTCTGTTGCAGTAGCTTATACTCCAGTTTTAGGTTCACATTGAACATTTTCTGTTTTTCTTCCTTGGAAATGGCATTTATGGCCGGATACTAGGTCTATTTGAGTTCCTTCTAAATCTTGAGCATGAAAGAGTTGGCTTTTGTCTTGTCTGGTAAATAAGACAGAAAAAAATAAAGAACTGCATCTATTAGTCTGGCACAAGCAGAATATGTATCTATTTTACCACAGCTCCTATAATGGACACCAGACACAAATCATGTAATCTTCCACACGTGGCTAGCCAATATCCTTACTAGATAGGAAAGCAGCATAGAACGCTGAAAGCTAACCGCTGAAGAACCACTTGTTCCAGCTGTAATTGAAAAAAAAAGAAATCGTATTTAAAGCTTGTATATTATAATTAACAACTCCAAGCAATAAATCCTAATGGTTTTCTAACAATTGTAATATGTCGATTTTACGTGCAACATTTATGTACTTTTATTGTTTTGAAGGATTTATATGCTGGTTTTTGTTGTTTTTTGATACTACTTTAAGAAATGAAAACATTTCACAATTTTCATCAGTGACGAATAATACCATTAAAACTACGTATGCGATTGTTTCACAGTCTTAATTTCCAATTCAATTTCCTTCGTAAGCCATTTCTCAGGAAACCACAATCGTATTTTCAAAAGATCTTCGACTTATTTGGGTTAAACTTCTTACATCTAGTCATTAAGGAGATTGGTTCAGGAAGATGGCGTTGTCGCGAATTGATCAATAAACAGACACATTGTAAATAACAATAAATTTCTCTAAAATATACTTCAATAGCACAGTTTGATCTTGAAAAAAAGAGATCACAGTTACAGTAACTGGTAATTAATGTAAACGTGAAAGTTTTATACTGACTGGACCTTTACTTCTATGTCCTTGATTATATAACCACTACATAGCCTAACATGTCGTACGAAGTCAAATTATTTTATTGCTTAAATTATGTTTAATTATAGTCTAACATATTATATGAAATAATTTCTCTCATTTTCGTCATCATCATTCTGAAAAGTAAAAATTTGTAGTTTTATCCCCAAACTCTGAATACTGGAAATAATAATAATAAAATTTAGATGCTTATTTTAATACATAAATGATTAGACATTTTTAAATCAAGTCTCTGGGGACAAGCTGTTTCGTAAAATATCTGCGGACGTATACCCCTAGAAATCTGGTTTCGATACCCGTGGTTGGCAGAGCTCAGATAATCCATTGTGTAGCTTTGTGCTCAACTTTAAACAAACAAACAAACAATCCCACTTTCTGTCTGCTTTTGCAACGTATATTAAGATGAAACCTGCAAATTCTTATGATGTGACAACCTCTTAACACTTTCTTAAAAACAGCATGAGACGCCAATTACTCTTGTTCTCACGCTCTACTTTCGCAGCATATACGATCTGTAAAAGCTCTATTAACACGTATATTAAAGGGAACAAAAGCAGATTTTATAGTAAATTCTTATTGTACTTTACCTTCGCATGCGTTGATTATAAGCTAGAATTAGAATTCGTATTTTGTAATCGACTAAATTATATTTAGTTGTGTGTGTTATAATGAAATACTGAAGAAATGCCAGCTCTGAATACTCTAAGTCATAGTACATATGTATATTTCAGTGTACTTAGTTAACATGGAAAATTTAAAATGTCATTCCATTCAGTGTATTAGACCGCGTCTCATGACTAAGATACTACGTATACCTTGCGGCCCTAGCTTGTTGTTTCCATTTTGAAATCCCTTGGAGGACTTCTCAGAGCCTAGACTTTGATGTTTCGGAAAATCTATAATGAAACAGAAGAAACAAAAAGAATATGAAGTGTCACTCCCATTCTTTTTCCGCGGATATGTCTTCTAACCAAATAAGTGGGGAGAATATTTTATATTATAGAATGTAGCTTAGCAGGTTTTCACACAAAGAAACACTTTTGTTATTCCTTAAAATGGTTTTTTGGGATATAAACATGTCATCAATCATCATCTCATTACAAGAGTAAAAAAAACTCATCAAATATAGAATACACTTTTTACCCTAGATTATAGACATTTTATTAACATAACAATATTTCCTCCTTGGCTTTGCCCCCCAGTGGCATAGCGGTATGTCTGCGGACTTACAACGCTAGAATCCGGGTTTCGATACCCGTGGTGGGCAGAGCACAGATGTCCCATTGTGTAGCTTTGTGCTTAATTACAAACAAACATACAAACAAATCCTTGGCTTTATTCCAACCTCTTCATTCCGATGTAACTACACTTATTTACTATTTGGCTTTACTAGCTTATTTTGAGAAAAACACAAAAATAAGCAAAACTCATAACTTTAAATTTGTATTTTATGTTCTTTTGGTGCCTCTCAAAACTTTCAGTCAAATGCAACATGTGGCAAGTATCTTCGAGCTATCTAAACTTTTGTAAGTGAAATACTTTCCTTCAGGTTTTGAAGAATAATAGCTGTAATCAAGGTTTACGATACTGCCGGCCGTCAACAGGTTCTGTGATTATTCTGTTTTTTTTTTTCTATACCAGAAGTGAACACAAAATTTTAATTAGATGTTGTAACTTTACAATGAAAACTTTAATACATAAACTTGCATATAGACCCTTACTAGAGCTAGTTAGCACGCAAGATTCATTAAAGTTATGTCCTTGGAGCGAATAAACCAATATTCCTGAAGCGTAGTGGAATTTTTGTAATGGATTAATCTTTTTTTAGACATTGTATCCACAAATAAAGTACTGAGGTTAAGTATCCTTCAGTAAATGTCTCATATTTTTCACACATATGCATATGCCAACCCTTTCAAGTTGCAAAAAAACCTATAATTTTTTCTATTGTATATTACTCTATAAAACAAATTAGCAAAGTTTCAAAAATTACATTAACTCATTTTACTGTAGTGGCAGATATCCTAAATTTAACCGTAAGTCTAGGAATAAGTGTTTTACTTTTAATGTTTATATGTTTTTAATTATGAATTTCTGATGTATATGTTAAAGATAAGAACCACTTTTGAAGGTATATTTTTGTTGAAATAGTGTTAAAATTGCATGATATGTAATGGCTAGGAAACATATTTGTGATCCATGAAGCTCCAGATTCTATATTTAGCGTATAAGAATAATTGCTTTCCAGAATAGTTAATACACGAGTTTTATTCCACTAACTGAGAGGTTACGTGATCGTACGTTCGCAGAGAAATTCGACTACGTAGAGGACACAGAAACAGCGTAACATCTGCTTCAACAATATATATGATAGGAGATTTATAAGTTGAGAGAGGGATTTTTCCTGAGAAGATGGAAGAAGATCTCTCTGTTTAAACCAAACAAAATAGCGTGAACACCGAACATAATCTCTGGCGATCCTGTTGGATTATATTTCCTAAAGTGCTGACTCATTCCATTGCAAGCAATTTATAGTTATAGACATCCATTATACCAAAAAAAAAATTTTAGTCTTGATAAGATAGTGTCGATTGGTCTGATTTGAGACCCCCCTCCTCGATATATGTATATATAAATTTAGCGTCGTAAATAGTTAAACCCTTCCTAGTTTGCAATGTTGGCGACTAAGATCTACACATCAAGTGCTGTGAAACAGTGACTGATAATGGGTATCAAATGCAGCTAAAACAGCTAAATAAACAAAAGCTAAGATTAATATTTTTTTATTCTTTTGCCAGAGGTTTTGCACGAGAGAAGATATGATATTACAAAATTACAATTAAAAATTTAAGGTTATTGACTATTTCAAGTAAAAAATGTTTGAGACGCATAGAATGTTCTTCAGTTGTGTAATTACTAATTATTTTAGAATGTTCTTCAGTTGTGTAATTACTAATTATTTTAGAATGTTCTTCAGTTGTGTAGTTACTAATTATTTTAGAATGTTCTTCAGTTGTGTAGTTACTAATTATTTTAGAATGTTCTTCAGTTGTGTAATTACTAATTATTTTAGAATGTTCTTCAGTTGTGTAATTACTAATTATTTTAATGTTCTTCAGTTGTGTAATTACTAATTATTTTAGAATGTTCTTCAGTTGTGTAGTTACTAATTATTTTAGTATAGTTCTTCTAGTTGTGTAATTACTAATTA